ATCTATAAAATATATAAATATATATGTGTATATATACACACACACTGAGTACCTGTAGAGCTGTTGCACAAACAGTTCTTACTTGTAATGCTGACTGGAAATGGCAAGTAAATAGCAGCTGTTAAAATAAACAAAACTGTTGGAAAGCTGTAGTTAGAGATTTCACTCAGTGGACAGATGTCTTGTTGACTGAGCAGCAGTGTTCTTGAACTGTGCACAGGGTTTCTGTTAGGTGGCGTTGCTTATTTTGTAATAGCTGCCTACAAAAGCACTGTAACTGATCTGTCTCCCCTTTCTACTTGAGAACTGCAGTGCCTGATTGTTTTTAAAATTTCTGAAAAACATTGCAGGCTATTTCAGGTCAAGCTGGATAGAAAGAAGTCAGTCATCTTTAACTGAAACATACTGTCTGTTCTTCCCTTGCAAAAAGGTGCAACTTGATTAAGTTATAACTTACAGAAATACTCTAGGCTGTGCTGTTTCAGAAATCTTGCAGTATTGAGTCCATTATTGAAGTGATGGGATAGATCAGTTTTGCCAGTCCCTGCAGAGCCAGATGGCTTTGCTGCATAGTAAAGATGGAGAGCCCAAAACTTGAATGATAGCTGAAACATTTTACAGTTCTAGAAGTTCTGCTTATTTTTCCAAATGGTATTGAAACTGCTCACCTTCTGTGCCTCCTGGAGGATATTTAGTTACACTCACTTTTCTGCAAAATTTAAGTGTGATGATGTAGTGTTTTTCTGTGATGGCAGTATTTGCAGTTAAATAAAAATAGTGTAATGATGGTAATAGTAGGCATCACCTGGCTTTCTCTTTAAAAAGGAAAAGGGCATTTAACCCAAGGGAATGAATTAAGTGGGTCTTTTGAATAATGACACATAATATACCCTTTTGGTTACGTAAGCTACATCTTACCTGATACTGTTAAAATGGCTCAAAGTATGTGAGGAAATTTGAATATCAGCTCAGGCGTTGTTATGTTAATATCTGTGGGATGTTAAATGGGCATGGAACTGCATCACCCTAAATTCCACTAAAACATTTCAGCATATTCCATTCTCTAACTTCTGTCCATTAGTTAATGCTTGTTTGTATTCAAACGTTTTGTCTGTAGGACGCTTTTAACTGTGTGAACACAGAATAGAGTAATTCATTGAATACTTGAAATGAAACAATGTAAATCCTCTTATCAGCAGTAGTACAGAGCAGGTCTTTGGTGCAGTGGAGCAAAGATTGACATGGAGCGGGGGGCAGTCCTTTTGTGCTGTCCTGCTTTCCACCATCTCCATGACTTGGCAGCTGCGTTGTTCTGGGCATTAATGTAGCACTGCATCTGATAACCATGTCTGTTATTATCAGAAAAAATGTTGTCCCTAATATAAATTTTAAAGATTTCTTACTAAGCAGATGATCTCGTTTAAATTAGAGGTGGTTAACTGAAAGCTTGGGCTTGAAGAACAAATCATGATAAATACAAAGTATGCTGTCATATCATTGGCAGAAGAAGTTCAAAAAGATTTTTTCATGCCAAAAATGATTCTTTGCTTGTTAGAAGTAGTATTTGGTTGTCTATGGCATTAGTGTAGAAACACATGATAGAGAATACTCATGTCTGCTCACCTTTTGCAGGAGCTGCTCACGTGCTGTGAAGAAGGTAAAGGTGAGATTAAGGATGGCCTGGAGGTGATGCTTAGTGTGCCAAAGCGAGCCAATGATGCCATGCACCTCAGCATGCTGGAAGGTAGGATTCAAACTGGCTTTCTGATTCAGTTGTATGCTGTAGATTAACTCTGCTTAATAACTTTTTATATTACTATATGTTGAGAAGATCTGAAGAATGGGAATGTTTTCTTATCTCTGGGTTTGCATTTCATGTGCCTTTTATTTGGAGGTATATAAAGTGCAAACTTAATTAGGAAAATGAATTGTGACAGACAACTGGTACAGTTTTGTTAATTTTTTTAAATGTTCTTTCATCCTGATCTATAGCTCTGCCACTGCAGATTTGAAAAATATGTAGGCTAACAAAGTTTTCCACTACTCACCTAAAATGTAATAGATGAATGGTCAAATACAATAGCTTCGGCTACATTTCCCAACCAGTATCCTTGGCTTCTTTATATGAGGAGCATAAGCATATTAGAGGTGGTTTTACTGATTTATGTATCAAATAATTGTCTCCACGAAGTTTGTCGTTTTCACATCTGTTTGCTGCCTGTTCCATAACAGACTTCTTGTTGAAATGAAATGTCTATTCTGGCAGTAAAATGTCAGCATAAGCCAATTTAGCCTGAGCCTTAGCCAGAATAGCATAATCATGTTCATGGCAGACAGTTGAGGTTGGATGTAATTGTTTCTGTGTGCTTAGAACAACTTTCTGCCAAAATCTGTTTTGTAATTGACACGTTATCATGCATGATGGTGCCATCATACATTTAGTAATAAAGGTGTTTTTCTTTGGCATTTAAATTTTTTGAGATAAAAGCAGAGCCGCCTTACCTTGCAGCTGCTGAATAAAGACTTATAAGTGCTTTTAGTCAATACTCCTTTTCCTCCTCTGTGCCTTCTAGTAGTAAAATGGAGCTTGTCATGGAATTTCCAGTATCGTGCAAGTTACTATAAAACTCATCTTGGTTTCCCATGTGATCCTTGATCATGTGAATGCTCAGAATCACCTTTCTTCCCTGATTTCAAACAACAGCAATGTTGGTCAGTTTGCAGGATCAGTTCCAAATGCTTTATTCAGGAGATGGTGTTAGTGTAAATGCTGACCAGCATTGGAAATAATCTCTTAACACTAGGAATGCAACTCTGGAGAATATCCTAATCTTTTGCATAAGTTGGTTTTATAACAAATCATGTGTGTATTGTTGAGTTATCCCATGTTAGACAAATATAGTGAGTGAGCACATTTCCTCTTTATGTCTCTGGAGGATTTTGAATGAACATCCTGATGCAACTTGCCTCTGATGCTCTCCATACTGTTGCTCTGTTTAGAACAGTGAGAACTTGTTTTCTTGAGAAGGATGGTGCTCTTCTGTTCAGAGAATATTGGCAAGCAGTATGTATTTAAAATGCAGTTTAATACCACTCAGAAGAGTATGGCAGACTAATTTCTGTCGTCCTGCAAGTCTAAAGTTGTGTATTAAACTGGGAGAACATTGTACCACTACAATGGATAAAACTGGTGATATTCTCAATCTTCATCTTTACATTATGTGTCAAGATAAGTAATCTAGTTGCTACTTCTTTATTGTAGATCAGTGCTGGAGTGACTCAATGGCAGGCTGATCACGTGGCAACGGCACCAAGCTGCCATCTTTTTTCATCCCCTATTGGAGCATGTTTGCGTGCTCCTTGCATACATGGTAGAGAAGGTGTACCACCAGAAAAGGTGGCATTTGGGAGCTTGCCGATGTCGGAACAACCTGATGTGCTCTCTGTGTCTTTGCAAATTGTTCACTTTCTACAGTGGCAGAAAGCTTATAAGAGAAGTCATTTTCATCACGGAAGAGGTTACCAGAAGCTGACAGAGAGAAATCTGTCATTTGTTGAAATACTGCCAGAAGAGTTGATAACCTTAACAGTTGGATCTCTAAATTTAGACATAGACGTGAGCTACAGTTACATTTAGAATATTGCAATATTGAAATCAAGTCTTGTTTTTAGTATTGCTTCCTTGGAATCCCATCTTTTGCAAGCTGTACTTTGGGGAAAAAAAAAAATCAGATTGCTTAATAAACAGAAGCTGTGCTTTTTAATTTCCTCGTATTATCAACTTTTCATGGTGAACCTTTCCTCTCCCTGGGTTTTTAGGCTTTGATGAAAATATAGAATCTCAGGGAGAGCTCATCCTTCAAGAATCCTTCCAAGTATGGGACCCCAAAACTCTAATTCGAAAGGGAAGAGAGAGGCACCTTTTCCTTTTTGAGATGTCCTTGGTTTTCAGTAAAGAAGTGAAGGACTCCAGCGGAAGGAGCAAGTACATTTACAAGAGTAAACTGTTCGTAAGTATGGGAGAACAAGTGATCATATTTAGAAAACTGTCTAAATTAGGCTGTGACTAAGCTCAGATGATTTAAATGTGCCTGAAGAACAACTATTATAGTGCACTGAAAGAACAGCCTTAGAATGTGTAGACTGAATCTAAGTTTCCTGCTTTGTCATGCTTCTGAGGAGAAAGAGTAGGCTGAAAGCAACTACTGAAGGCTACGTGTCAATCTTTGTGTGTCAGGACAAAGGAAAATCAAGATTGGGCTGGACTGATTTTGTTTTAATTGTGTGTGATTGTTGGTTCTTTAAGGCTCATTTGTGTAAAGCAGAAGGATGGAAGGAGTTGACAAGCTGCCTTCATCTTGCTTGTTTACTATTGCTGTTGTAGTAATATCCATGTTAAGGGTTCATTTTGGTGGATATTCTAAACGTACTGATCTGGAAAGGCAAGAACTCCTTGTTATGGAAAACTTCACTCCAGAATGTCTGCTGAGACTAGAAGCCTTACAACATTATTTTGTAAATAAAATGATAGCTTTTATGGTCTACTGAAAGGTTGTAAAGATGGAAATGTTTATCTCCCCATCTAAAAAAAAAAAAAAACCAAAAACAAACAAACAAAAAAAAACCCCAAAAATCCATTCTTGCTTTCCCCATCTGTAGTATGTATACTTTACAAAATGTGACCCTGGAATTCATAGCCTTCCCCTCCTGTCTCACTGGATGACTTGGGTGAGAGTAGTATTCACGCTCCATAAATTTAGGTAGCCAAGGGAGAGGACAGTCTCCCATGGCTTGCTCTGCATCTGTCTGTCGGAGGCAGGATTAGCTTTTCTACTAGACTAGTTTAGAACAAGTACTTGAAATTACTTCTCAGAATCATGCTCTAAAATACGTTATTCTTCTGTTGATCCTATTGGGATATATGACTAAGTCTAGATGGTATAAATACTGAGCCTCTTCTCCCTGCTTCAGCTCCTTTTCCTTCGTTCTTTTCCCCTTCTCACCTCTGTGTCCAAACTGGTAAAGCACGTTGGTTCAAAACCCCTCTTTTTTTCCTTATCTTACTTTGCATATTGTGTCACTTCATTTCCAACACTTGTTCTCCTTCCTGATACAAAGTAGCTAGCAGGTAAGCAGCTGCAGCTGTTTTGTTGATCTCAAGAACTTGAAATACAAAAACTTCTGGTGTACTGGAGGGTAACAGCAACTGCCAAGGTATTACATGGGAGGGGAGACAGAGCTGAAAAATGGGTCCCATAAGCTTGTCATGTCAGTTCCTCTGGCAATAATTTAGTAATAGTCTTGGGTCCTAGAGAAGTTGCTGGAAGTCTTGGAAGACTCTCATTGTGCCTCATTTTTTAAAATACAAGCATATCTTTTTGTCTTCATATTCTGTTTGGCAAAATACCCTGTAGTGCAGCTTACTATTATAGCAATTCTTACAGTTTGATCTTTAGAAAAGGCATTCATACAGATGTTGAAAGCATGTGTATTGATTTGAGCTAAAGATCTTTTTTGCATGTTATCCTGTCTCCTGCTTCTGGAAGGTGGTGTTACAAAAGTGAGGTCCTTCTCTATACTTAGGGTGTGATGACCATCATGGTTTCTCCAGCACAGGATACTCAATAGTGTGACTTGTATTAGTGGAAGAATGTGTTAATGAACTCCTTTGGCAAGAGATAAAGTGTCCAAAAGCAAATGCCTAAGGAGGGCTATGGGAACAAGGCAAGCAGGTGTTACTTTGCCAGAATATTCTCCCAGTCACCAGTAACTGGAAGGTCAGGGGCTTCCTCACCTGAATGTGGTTTCTGTACAATAACCCACAACAGATTTCTCTTCTGTGAGCTTGTCCTTGGACCTCATGCAGACTTTTAGCACTTGCAGTGTCCTTTGGCAAAGAGTTGTATTGCTCAACTACATATTGGGCACAGGCCAACCTCTGTGTGTTGGGTTTTGAACCTGACTACCTCCTACTAGTTTCATTTGATGCCTACCAGCACAGTGAACGACCTGTGTTGGCGTTGCCACTCCTTATTGTACAGACCTCTACTGCATTGTCCCTCAGTTGTCCCTTGTAAAATTAATAATAATCACAAGTGTATCAAGGCTTCTAAATTTTCTAGGCTTTAAAAAATAAATGTTAAAAACTGTACTATCTTGCCTATTCAGACTTTATATTGGGCAGTGCGGTAGGGTGTATTTTCTTTGAGTTACATAATGTAATGTTGGATTAAGTATTTTACAAGCTTTTTAACACACAGGAGTTGTTTGTGAGTCAAGTTTAAAACGCATCATGGACTTTTAAGTATTTCGGTGAAGAAGAGTCCATTTTTACCAAAAAGAGATGACAAACCTGAAAGGGTGGATGTGTCAGGTGGGGGGGGGGGGTTAGGGGCAAAAAAAAACCCCAAAACCAAAAAACAAAACGAGTTGGTGTCCAAGTGAGGCAAGAAAAAAAAAATTACCTTTACTTAGGTATTGTGTATCCAACATCTCTTGTAATGAGCTGTCTGTGTGCTAGTGATGATGCATATGAGGGGAAAAATACAGCTTCTAATAATGTAAAAATGCTTAGCAGCTGTCTTTTGGAGTGAGGGTCCTTGTAGTTTGAGCTGTATTTCTTAGTTTGTAATTTTTTCTGGAGTAGAGCCTGTATGAATTGTTTAACTGGAAGCCAATTTGCATGATTGAGATGTTGTCCCAGTTGGAAAGTGAAAACATTTTGGATGATAATTAGCTATTAAGGTCTGACATTAGAAACTTCTCAAAGACTGATTGTTAATGTAGTTGTCCTACAAAATTTTCCAGGGAATTTCTGCATTTCTGAATTATTTCATCTGTTTCAGAGGGAAGGAAACACACTAAGAAAGGCTCTTTTGGCAGAAAAGAGATCAGTGTTTTGGAAGATATCAAGAGAATTCTTAAGCATATCTTATCCAAGAGAAAACATAAAAATCAATAAGTAATGAGTGTTCCCTGATGGAAATCAACAAGGAGAGAAGCCAACACTTATTTTTTTACCAAGCACCTTTATTTTAGAGTTTATAAGGCTTTTATTGTCAAGTCAAAAATGTAAAATAAGCAATTTGGTATTTCAGATTAGAAATGCTATTGTTTATTGTTACTTTACAGGAAAAAGTGTTTAGCTTGCAGTTCTTCCTTTTTTGAAGAAACCCCACCACTGCCACCAGAATAAAGGATACTTGCTAGCATATGAGTTGGACTTAAGCTTTTAAAAACCTCTTTAAATAGCAGGGCTCAATTATTTAGAATATCAGCATCCATTTGTGGCTTCTGAGAAAAAAATGCCATGTCATCCTAACAAATTTTTCTTGATTCCAGACTTCTGAACTAGGTGTCACGGAACATGTAGAAGGAGATCCCTGCAAGTTTGCTCTATGGGTTGGAAGGACACCAACTTCAGACAACAAAATTGTTCTCAAGGTAATTCTAGCAGATGTGCTTGTACAGTTACTAAGTCTTGTAGTTGTTGTTCATACTTGTTGGGAAGGCAACAAGTGATGACTTTTCCTGCTTTGAGAGGGACAGCTGCTGACAGATAATTTTCCTTTGTGTGTAAAGGATGTGACGTATATCTAACTTGCACAGCTTGACAGCAGAGGGGAATCTGTGTGGTCTACTGAAGGATTAAACAAACTTGCTTTCACAAATCGGCGTAGGAAGAGGTTTGATCCCATGGACTTCTACAGCATGAAGACTTCAGCCACTAGCTGACAGAGCAACTGATAAGCAACAGAGAAATCACATCATAGAATAGTTTGGGTTGTCAGGGACCTTTAATGGTCATCTGGTCCAAATACCAATGTTCAAGGTGTTATTGCTGGAATTCTTTAAGTAAGTCAATCCACCCTGTCTCACATGAGATGCATATAGGGCTTTAGCCTTCAAGTTATGAAAGAGGGATCTGAATCTAAAATAAAATGGTTTTTGAATGAACAATATTAGTAATGTTGAGAAGTGTAAAGTAGTGTTGGAGATTCAAAATGAAGACAACTAGCTTGAATTTCCTTTTTTTTTTTCAAGTTTTCAAAAATTATTCACAAAGTCATTCTTTATGCCTTCCTCTTTGTGTTTATTAGCTGACTGTATTTGTGGATCTTCTCAGCTGTAATAGTCCGTTGTGGGGGTTTTGTTTCTTTTGCATATCAAAGGCATCCAGTATAGAGAATAAACAGGACTGGATCAAACATATCCGGGAAGTGATACAAGAAAGGACCATTCATCTGAAAGGAGCATTGAAAGAGCCAATCCACATTCCCAAAACTGCACCAACAACAAAACAGAAAGGAAGAAGGTAAGTAGTATTTAAAATAATCAGAGATCTCTAAGTACACAACAGCACTCATTCCTATGTAGTGCTGAATTTCTAATGACTTTCGGTGAATCAGACAAAACGAAGAGTCATTGTGGCCAGCTTTATCTTGTAATTAATTTCCAGTTTACTGCAATGCTGAATTTGTTGAGATTTCTGCTCTGAACAGTCCCTGACTTGTGTACATTCAGCAATTACAGAAGGGATTTGGAACTGCAGTACAGGATAGCTGTACATTTTTAGATTTTTACAATTCTGCATGTGTTATTCAGGTCCTTGGTTTCCTTTCAATGGAGCTTAAAATGTGTGACTGAGTAGTCTGCTTGCTAGCTTTGGCTAACTGGCTGTGCAAGTTTCTTGCCATAGTTCTGGCTTGTTGGTTGTTGCCTTAATTCTACATGATGTGGACCTTGAGCAAACGAATCTGTTCTCTTAAAGCATAGAACAAAGTATTAAGTGCTGAATATTTGATTTTTGCATCAGTTTGTCTGGCTGGTATCCATTGCCACACTGTCTAGGTGCCCCTTCTTTAGAGTTGCAAGTAGGGAACTAATGTGTTACAAACACAATGCTAATCCTGTAATGAAAACTGAATTATTTGCAGAGACGGTGAGGACCTGGACAGTCAGGGAGATGGTAGCAGCCAACCTGATACTATTTCAATTGCCTCACGAACGTCACAGAACACGCTAGACAGTGATAAGGTAAGTTTCCCAGGTGTTGCTCTGTTCTGAGAGCAAATTATTCATCCCTTAGTGTGAGTTAGCACCCAAGATTAGTCCTTAGTACCTTCAGAGGGGAGGCATGGAAATACTCAATCTCCACTGCACACAGCTATTTTTATGAGAAAATATCTTGATACCATGGGGGAGCAGGGATGATTGTTTAAATCTAGTAATAGGTCACAAAAGGAATTACGTTTGTTCCAAACCGAAACCATTTTGGTCCCCTCTCTTCTGCAGATTGCTCAAAGCTTTGACCCAGTTTAAAACAAAAGTGTTATTTTCCATAAAATTTGATACTCATGCACAGAATTTTTCTTGATGTCAGTTTTAGCTTTTCTGAAAGCATGCTGTCTGCTTTTTGTATTAGCTTGAGGTTGGTGGTTGCCAACTTCACTTTTGTGAAGGAGAAACACTATCCAGTGTTCATGGGTTAAAGAGTAAGAGTGTTCACTTTCTGCATGAGAGCTGATGGCAATCACCATATTAAAGAGGAGTAACTCACAACACTATCATATGATACTGTGTTAGTGTTTCCTTTTCTCCATCTTTGCCTATACATTCTGGCTGGGTTATCCCATAAGGATAACATGTTTCTCATGGGTAGAAGGAAGACAGGCATCAAAAGAGTAAAAATTCTTAGATGAAACGTGTCTGTTACTTTGGAATTGAAAGAAGATTTCTGGCGAGTGAGAAGTGTTAGGACCTTGAAGGGAGGTAAAGATGGATAATAGAAGTTTGTCAAACAGAAGAATGAGTTAAAACATAGAAGCTGTGAAGCAAATTACTTGAAAATGTGGTTAGGGATTTCAGGCCTATTACTTCATTGGGTAAAATTGTTCTGATGAGCCACTCAAACTACAAAGGTAAATAATCTGTGTATTACAGGGCTAAGTGAATAGGTTCTCAAAGTAATATTTTGACCATTCCCATTGTCATCTAAAAAAGAGTTAGTTTTCTGTGGTTTTGCATGTCACTTAGACTCTATGGTTTTAATTTTTCCATGTAAAGAAGAGGAAGACAGAAGAAGGGAAATATAAGATGCTTAGGGTTGCTCTTGTATTTGTCAAAAATAGCCTATGTTTTGACCTCGTGCATTTGTATTGAAGTTGGTCTGTAGTTTTGGTGGTGGTTTCTTTTAAGGATATCTGTGGGAAAAATGGTTGGTTAGAGCAAAAAAAGTCTTTCGATGACTCTTGTTTTGCTATTTTATTCTTTGCATTCTTACCTAGCTATTTAGTGATTTAAAACAACTGTGTTGTGCGTACTAGCAAACAGTGTAATTCAATTTTTATGTGTTAAGACTTTGGGTAGTCTGTCTCACTCAAAAGCAAGACATGCTCTCTCTGATTTCCCTGATTGTTGGCTGAGACGTCAAGCTGTGTGCACGCAGCCTGGCTGGACTGTGCTTCGATTCAAATGGAGGTGATGCAATCCACCCCTGCCATGCACAACCATTGCCCCTCTTCAGCTGTTTGTGGTGTACTGCTTACTGGGTAATTGCATGGATTGTCTCTTGTTGGCCCTCCTGTAATATTTCATGCAATTCATCATGTGAGAATTACTAAGAGAGCTGGCCAAGTGAAATGCGCTCAGGTTGGTTAGTGAGCATAGCGTTGTTTTTAAAGTAGTTTTGAGTTCTAATGTTAGTGTATAAAAGTTTTGTTAGACTTTTCTTTGACAAGGAAAACAAACTGAAAAATAAGAGACTCCCTGGAAGTTACTTGTGCTATGTATTGTATGTCCAAGGAAGAAATTTACTGTTTGTGTGCTTTTTAAAGTGTGTTAATTAGCAGAATAGCTTTTTTTAATGTTTGTGTTATATGTTTTGATTTGTTAAATACACTAGGAAGAGAAAATTTTTGATCTGTTTAAAAATACAAAATAAAAACTATTGAAGAACAATTAACAGGCAGGTGGCCAGTGAAATCTATAGGGTATCTTAACACTCTTCAACTTTTCATGTTGAAAATTCATTAGCTGCAGTCCATTTGGAGTTTAAAATTGACTCTGTTTTCTCAGCCTAGGAGCTTGAAGTATTTTTAAATGTCTTACAGAGATGAAGTGAAACAGTTTTAGGGGTTTTAGGTGCTGTTGATGTGGTTAGCCAGATGGAGCAGCGGAACTCCTTGGTCGAATTTAAAGCATGTCCCAAACTGAGCTGGGATTCCAAATTGAAAAACATTCAGAATATCAAGTAATTTAAAATAGTGTTAACTAAGTGGTAAAAAAGTTTACATTGTATCACTTACTATGCTTTTTGTGAACATTTTTCTGTTCATTTCTATCTACTATTGTCAGTAAGAAAACACAACAAATAGCAAACATAATACTAATCAACAGCCAAGTAAAACCATGCTTTTCTTTTCTCCAATTATATGCTCAGACAGTTGATTCTTTTAAAATACACGTTTTGGTTAGAAGTGCTAAGCTGTTACACAGGGTGAGTATCAAGAATGAAACCCTTTATCCACAACTCAATACTCTTTCTGAACTCCTTAGAGAGGAGCCTCCTTAGCCTTGGTAGTAAGTGGTTGAGTATTGCCCAGATGAGCTTGTTTCCTTGCATCCTGTTTTCTGACATAATTGGAAGTGTCTTAACAAGAGAGAATAACTTCATGATTAGTTTTTTTTCTTCTCCACCCTGGCTTTTTGAGTTAGAATTGTAACTTTTGATTGTTGGCTCCACTTGTTGCATGTTGCTTTTCAGTAGTGACTGGAATGATGCAATAGACTGTATGTTTATAAAGCTGACACCCTTCCCAGCTTCATGTCATCTGAAAACTATACTGGAAAGTGGAATTAGAATTCAGAATCGTCTTGGCAAATGGGAGAAATTAATTGGCAAAATACCATGCAATTTAATAGAAACACGTTTGAGCTAATGTGAATAGGTGGCAATAGTTAACTACTAATGAAAACAGTGAGAGTATTGAACAGTTTTTGAGAAGATGATCTAGAAGCTATATAGGCTCACAAGCTGTTTGTTATCTTAACAGTGTGATGCAATTATGAAGGGGGAGAAGCAGCCCTATATTGACTTGTAGAAATAGGATGCTGAGCTGCAGGACACAGTCCTCATTCTTTACTCAGCACTTGTAAGGCCTATATTAGATACCGTATCCAGTTTTGAGTACAGAATTTTAGTAAATTAGTGGACCATTGGAAGAGTTCCAGGGGAAGGAAGAAGAGAAAAAAAAAAGATTGATTAGACATCTACCAAACATCACTTACAAGGCAAGATAAAGATTTGGGACTAATGAGTCTAAAGAAAAAAGGTAGGAGGAAGAGCTTCAGGTGCATAAAGAAAAGCTACTACACACAGTTACAGACCAGTCTTTCACCCATATTTTCAGTGGAGGGGATGAGATCAAAGGACTTATCTTTAATAAAAGATTCCAATTTTTTTTTTTTTTTTTTTAATGGGTATGAAAATGTGAAGCCCTAGAGCAGAGTAGTTGTGAAGGCTGGAGTATCTCTGTAACTGGAGATTGTTGAGAGCAGTTTGGATAAATGTTAATCATGATTCACATAGATGTAGTTGATCATGCTCTAGAGGAAGAGAAAGAAGTGGACTATGTAACTTAAGATCCCTTTCCAGCCTGTTTTTAATATCATGGGGTGTATCTGCATATTGCAAGACATGTTAAATACATCCATAGCACTGACCCATCCTGAAGTATTGGAAGGTATAATGGAGTCCAGAGTGAAATATGAAAATTTTTGAGGGAGATTTCTACTCCATCAAAGCGTCTCAGTTTTCTGAATGAGTGCTCTTATTGTACCCTTTTCAGTAAATATTTCACTCCTTTTTCACAGCATTCCTTCCATTCACCTGTAGCTGTGTAGTCAGCATTTTAGGTGGCTAATGAATAAGAGATGACACTTGGCCCATTCATTCCACCTTTCAACAGCTCCTAGCCTCAGAGCTTGATCCGATTTTAACATTGTCTTTAGAACTTGATCCATTGCATAGGAAATGAAATTGGGAGGTTGAGGGAAACAGTGTTGGTCTGGTAGGTCTTTTCATGCTTGCATTAAACGAGCTGGTAGAAACGTGAAATAATCCAAACTAGTATTTTGGTAGCTGAGAAGATGAGAGGCTTTTAGAAGAAGAAGAGCTGTCATAGGGTGTTATCCTAAATAGTAGGAATCATGCTAGCTGCTCTGGGTGGTCAGTGGAGCAATATTTTATTTTTAACAAATTGTCTTTTGTGCTCAGCTGGTAACACTTTGTACTGCTGTCTATGTGAAGTCGTTATTTCATTCTCATGCTTCTTTAAGTTTGTGTGTAGTACTTTGGAAAATAGAAGAAGGACTGAAGCAGCAGGAGACAACCAAGTATTTAGTTCTGCCAGATGAGACTGCAGAAGAGAAAAGGCTTCCATCAGTAGAAAAATATGCTAGTAAAAAACCAGGCATGGCTCTGAGTATATGCCTCTTTTCAGAGTCAGAAACAAAGTCTGGGCAGCTACCTGGTCAAAGCAAAATATTCTTTATTTGAGACAACTGTTGTGTGTCTCCTATTTCTTTCCTCCCACAGTGCACTTGATTCTATTTTAAAAGGGGATTAAAGATTTTCATGCTTGAAATAATTGAGAAATCTTATTAGCTGTTCCCTTTCCTTTCCCTTCTCCTCAACACGAAATTGCCATGGGACAGTAAACTTAATTTGCTGTCCTCAGAGGAGGTTATATGCCCTGATGTAAAGGCCATTGTACGTGGCAAAAATTGCCAGTGATGTTCTTCCCAGATACTGGTGGCAGATGAACTCTTGGTGTGGTGTCTCTGACTTCAGCAAACCTACACTGAGTGTATTCAGCCAGTGAGTGTGTTAGGTTTGGGTTGGTTTTTTTTTTTCCTCTCTCTACAAGGGACAGTGATTAAAAGGCCCCAGAGAGATGAACATAGATGGTTAACATTAATTTCAGCAACAGCAAGACACTGTGTCCCATGATAAGCTGTTTAATTAAACCTTGTGACTTTTTTAATCTGCAGTTGTATTTCTGTCTGGCTTTTGTTTCTCATCTCGTCTCTGTCTCTCCAGTTTCCATGTTTCAGACATAGCCTCATTTATTTTTATCATGCATGATTAATTCAGTTTACATAAAGGGTTTCTTGAGGAGGATGGATAAAGTATATAAAGCCCTTGTTCAGCCTAAATTTGGATTTAGATGGTTTGTAACTCTCTTCTCTTCAGTGCAAGTCAGTCTCCTGGTTCTGCTGTGCCTCCAGCTAGCCTAGAGAGCCTTGCCAAAGCTGTCCAACAACAGCTGTTGAGCAATACGCTTAATCACAGACACTCCTTGCTGTCCAACTGCATTTAATCAGTGCGAAAGATGAAACTGCTTTCAGAAAGTGTGTTATGGAGAGAAAACGAGCAATGAAACAAAGAGGAAAGCAGCATTTCCTAACTGTAACTGTTACGGGCAGAAAGAAGCGTTGTTATCCCAAAGGAGGGGAAAATTGGTAAATGCTTTTTTGGTCAGTTCTCCATGATGATGTAGATGTGTGCTGGGTAGACATCATCATTGTTTTCGGTGTGGTAGGCAGCAGCAGGGAAGTCGTGCACCAAGATGCATCTAACAGTGTTAGTGCATGTTCGAGGATGGTGTAGAACTAACAATGGCATGTAGGAAGTGTCTTACGCACTGTACTCAAGTGTGATCGAATACTGAATTTCAGTGGAATACTGATCAGCTAGGATATCTGATTCCCACACAGTCTAAAAGACTGGGATTTTTTTGTACTTTAATAGTTTCTGACATAGCCACTGACAGCCTTTGTTTGCTTTTTCCTTTAGCTTAATGCTATATAAAAAAACTCAGTAAATATAAAATCTGTGATCTTAATTTTATTATTATTAGGGGAAGGAGAAGAAATAACATCCATATTAAAGCAAAAACCATGTGGCCATTGCACTGGTCACATAAGCGTATTTTAATGTCTATTTGTAGGAAGTGAAGGGTCAGGAAAGCAAGCAGAGTACCAAAGCTCTGCTCCTGTAGGTATTTAGGAGAAAATAAAAAGACTAGATGCAGTTTCTGGAAAGTGTCAACTTGTTACTGTCTTGATGTTTGCACTGATTGGGGATGGATATGGACTCTCCTGAGAAAAAAATTGGTCTGCATTGGACACCTTGTGAAGTTATACTTCATCAGCTTTTTTGTTAGTCCCCACCAGGCATACAGATGGTTTCAATTGTTTCTGAGTTTGCCTGAAGAAGGCTGTAACATAAACCAGCGCCACAAAACAAGGGAAAGCTGTTTACTTTTTCCCCTTCGGCATAGTTTTGCATGGACTGAAAACTAGTATAATATGGAGAAAGAGTGTAAGGGAACAGGAAACTTTTTAATGAGGGAGGAGGTAGCATGTTTTGAAGCTGTACCCCCCCCCTGTAATTTGGGTATTGGGGCTGTCTGGAGAGATGTAGTAGAAGCAGTGTGATTAATTTTTAGCCTGGATCTAAACGGGTGCAACCTGATTTATCTTCCTTAAACACTAGATGTATGAGGCTTTTCTGCCCTTCTTGGCCCCTGCATCCCCCCAAGAAAACTTTTTTCTTCTTTGTGTGCACGCACGAGCAAGGGTAGCTGGTGAGATTAGCAGGCGGAGACCATGGGAAAGCTCTAGAGTTACTGCAGGCCATCTGCTGGGAGTTATGTCCTGTTGTTTGTTGCAGGTTTGAGGAAGAGAAGTTTGGAAATAGCCTTTGAGTCTTACTGGGGTTTTGCTGATTTTGTCATTTGCTCTAAAATTCTTGCTTGATAACAAACAGTGTTATCCTGGCAAAGTTTCTGTCTGGTGCTTCAGTTCCAGGCTTGTAATGAAAACTAATAAGTAACAATGCAGTCTCTTATCTCCTTTCCCTAAAGCTCATGGGATGTAGCTGGCAGCCGTCGTAAGAGCCTAAGCGTAATAGTCAAAAATAACGTGGCAGGAACTGTGCAGTATGTTGGTGTAGCACATGCTTCTATATTTGCTGCAGTTGGAACTCTCACAGGGTATTTGCCCTCCTTTGTCAGCGTAGACCATTGCAGGATTACCTCGCTGAGTTGAAGGAGTTTACTGGCTTGGTCCAAAATTACTGAATTCACAGAAGTTGCCTCTCAGCTGAGATCTGATATGAATGTTGCGCTGAAGCAGCCTGAGCTATAGAAATATTCACACACGAAAAGCTGAAATAGCCTGGAATGCCACTGCTGTATGGAAGGGGAGAGAAGGAATTCCCAGGTTGTTTGCTTAAGTTGGATGGGTGCTCTGGCGTTAGGCAATCTTGGGAACTTTGCAAAGTTCTGATAGTAATTTTCATTTCACATCAAAGCAGATGAAACAATCAAAGAGAAGAAACTTAAGCTTAGGCAAAGTAATTCTAATGAAGTGTTTCAAAGAGGGGGAGGAAAATCCTGAGCTTGCATGCTTTTAATTCAAGTTTGTGTGTTTTTATTTGGGCTATCAGCAAAAATGTGAAAGTTGTAAGCCCGTGTGGATTTTGTACCAAATAGTTAAGTATTTGGGAAACTTATGTGAAGAACTTTGTGCTGATTTTTATGATTATGTATGGTGTATCCTGGATGATTTTGTGACCTGCATATGTAGAAAGTAAACTGTGAGTGGGGTGGGAATAAGGCAGTAAGCTCATTCGAAAAAGGTCACTCTTTGTACCTTTAATTTGCAAGATAACAAAGCTCATGAGTGACTGTATTTAGTAATATCTGGCTTTTTGTTGCCAATTATCACCCATAAAGTATGTTCTGAAGTGACTGCTACTTCAACTTTTGGGGTAAGGAGCAGTCTAGCAAGAAAAACCGCTTAAATCCTCCGCCCAGCACTGTCACAACCAGTGTGCTTAGAACATAGGCAGAGACAAGCAGGTTAAAAATCTGTTCTAAAATGCCAGAACTGCCTGATTTTGAAATGATCTCTCCTTGATATGGAAAGTCCCAGAAGCTTGCTATCTCATCGAAAATACGAATCCTGCCAGGAATCCTAAATAGGTAACGGTGTGCGACGGATGGTTTGATAACGAGCATTCATCTGGCTTCTCCTTCTTGTTTTTCCCCCTCACAGTTGTCTGGTGGGTGCGAGCTGACAGTGGTAATCCACGATTTTACTGCCTGCAACAGTAATGAGCTGACAATCCGCCGTGGGCAGACGGTGGAGGTCCTGGAGAGGCCCCATGACAAGCCTGACTGGTGTCTGGTTCGAACCACAGATCGGTCCCCAGCTGCAGAAGGCCTGGTCCCCTGCGGGTCCCTCTGCATCGCGCACTCTCGCAGTAGTATGGAGATGGAGGGGATTTTTAACCACAAAGGTAAGAAATGATGGAAACGAAGTCTTGTCGTCAGCAGCACGAGTTTTGGGTAACAGCGAGTACTGTGCCAACAGCCACTTTGGTTTTCTTTTGCTGTTTTGGTTTCTAGTTTTTAATTAAATAAAACACAGTGCTTTTAGCAAGCTGCAAGCCACACTGTCTATTCCAAAATAGGCAGTCAGCAATTCTCAGTGTTAAGTGAAAATGTGGCTGAAGACAGGGAAGAGCTTTAAGCAAATATAACAGAGTTCTGTATCATGTTAGATCAAGCTGCGATGATAGGAAAATCTATACCTGTCGTGTGCTGAAAGGTGGGGGGGTAGGGGGGGAAGAGAATCTCCAGCATGCAGTAACAATGGCTTCTGAGAAACCCTGCAATAAGAAGTCATGACAGGATCAGGCTCAGCGATGGAAAAGCTAAATACACACATTCCTGTGCCCTGGCACAGGAACTGGCTGGTTGGACTTCTGTATTTCACTTAACTGACTTTTCCAGAGTAGCGGTGGCACATAAATCCCTTTTTCACGGAGGAGCTCTGAAAGTTTACTTTGTTTTTTCAGATGCATGAAAGAACGTGCCCCTGAAGGGTGCAACAAAAAACTGATAATTTTTTGAAAGTTTTTAAGGCTTTGGTGTGCTGTAGTCCTTTGGCTCCGTAAAATCCCCCGGCTCACAGAGTAGTTTGTTGTTAGAGAAAATGCTTGCTTACTTCATTTGAAACTACTTGAGTTTGCAGCCTGTGAACAGAAAGCAATGTGAATTAAAAAAAAAAACACCAGAAAAACAGTTCATTAGAAGGTGTTTCGTCACATGCTGGGGGAAAAGATGCATTTCAAAAAGTTTGTTATTGCAAGTAACAAGATTAGCAGGAAAGTGGTGTTGGGGAAAACTTGTTTTCCAAACACAGAATTCTGGTTTTGGGGAGTTTTTCATAAATACAACCACAAATTTTTCTATTATTCAGTCCATCCCAGCTATCGCATTACAATTTTTCCCAGTTTTTTCAGACACTGTATAAATGTGCTTGGCTAAAAGAGGGGAGTTTGTGTTTCTTAAATTAGGAACACACACAGCAGGAACTTCCTGAATGCAGGGCAATTGGGAGGGGAAGTCTGAAGGATTGAGCTGTATCTTTGGAATACTTTTTCATCCTCTTGTGTCCTATAACAATTTGGATAGAGAAAGTTTGCAGTTGTCCTGATGATGAAATTGGAAAAATGTAGTTAGGTGTCACTGAAACATCTCTCCCTTTGACCAGGGGGTGAAATCATGGAAATGTCAACAGGATTTGTTTGTTTGTTTGTTTTACACAACACTCACAGAATTGGTAAATCCAATTTCCTTTGGAGCTAGTGGACTTCACCTTTGAATGCAGAGAATTTTATTAGGAGAGGCAGATTGCACTGGACAATATGTTATATGAAGAACATTGAGCCTGTCAGACTCCTGAGGGAGAGGCAGAGCTGTTTTTGTCTTTGGGAGGTTACTTTTATTAATCAAACCAGTGGACGTAACCTGTATTGCTTTTTCCTCCTTTAGTGTTTTTTTGGAGAAAACGGGGCAGAGCATTGTAAAGTTACTTTAGCTTCTGTTCAACATACTGCTTTGAAATAAACAGCATTAATTAATTATATTAATCATGGAGACGGAAGAAGAAGAGAAGGCCATTGCTAGAATGAGCATGATTTGGAGGGTTTAATGGAGCCTCAGAAGTGACTTCTGTCCGTGCCTCTGTCACAGCCTTCTTGTGGGATGTTACAACATGCCATCTAAATGCCAGCTGATAAGAAGCAGCTGCTAATTGTTTTTTCCCACATTACAGGGTGTCAGGCTTTAGGAGCTGGCTGTTTGATTTGTAGAGTTTCCCATGCATGTGACTGTGGCTGAGGTCAATGTGAACTGTCTTGGACAAGCAAGCTATTTTATAATGTTAAGTAATCTGGGGAGGAAAAAAAAAAAAGCAAAAAACCAACTTTAGACTGGGTACTTGAAACCACTGGGTACATTTGAATGCGGTCTCTACCTCAACTTCTTATTGATTGAAAGAGGTTGATAGTGTTCATTTCAGAGAGGGATTACAAAAATTAAGCAAAATTAGTTGAGTGCTTTGATTTTATTTTTCCCCCCATAGTGAAAAGTACCTCAGGCCATCCCACAAAGCAATTACTCATTCTCAAGTGCTGCATTTGATTAAAGATCTTTAAATAAGGCATTGGGGAATATTCTGATCAGAAGAATGGAAAAACAGATGATATTCTCAGAATTGTTCATTGTGGGCATTCATTGAGGTATGAATTCCTAAAAAACAAAACAGAAAACACAACCCCCATAACAAAGAGCAAGTGAATGACTTATGTAATTTAAGGCAGCCCATGTACTTGGGGCAACTCTTAAATGTTGCATTTCCTAGCTTTCTAGTGCTTGATTCTGTCTTTTTAATACAGATTTTTTTTCTCTCTTTTTTTGACTGTAATTCAGTAAAACTTTCAGAGTTTTTTAATGATTCAACAAATTAGGATATTGCTCTCTGGAGTTTTTAGGTCTGAAAATACATATGATATGTCAGGCTTGCAGTGTGAGCATCAGGTCTGAGTAATTCTGTACAGTTCATGGGCTAGGCCACGTGTTGTAGACACGAGCCTGGAATTTGTGCATGTCTGGCATCGCAAGCTGTTGTGAGAGGCTCAGGGAAGGAGAGGTTTTCTGTAATTCCAAAGGAAAAAGAGAGGTGATCATCATCAGAAGTGGTGGGGGTAGCTGCTTGCATGTTGAGTGCTTAGCCTATACAAATAGCTTGTTGAAGCAAAGAGGTCTGTGCTTCTTTCAATATCTGTGACCCTACAGTTTTGATATTTTCAACAGTGTTTATCAATACCATTTGCCAGCTAAACAAGTTGGAAAGCCACGGTATATCGGGGTGAGTGAGCTTCAAAGTTTTGAAATGGCAAACCTCTTCTAATTTACAGCTGGTTCTTAAGTTGTGTAAAACCACGTTTCATCACTGAGTACAGAAATGTTGAGTGGTATTTAAAGCCTTAAATAATCTGAAATGATTATCTAAAGGAGGGTAACATGAAAGATTATTAAAGCAAGAAGTATGTTCAGTGAAGCCTATTTCTGACAGCCGATCTTGGTCATTTGTTGTCAGTCCACATATTATGTCAACCATGAAAGGTAACGTCGTTTTATTCTCATGTTGGAAGACAGCTCCAAAAATGAGCCTCATCACTGCCTGCAAGTGTAGGTGTCATTTGTCCTCTAAGAATGTGTATTACTTTAAATATCTAATCAGTCTTCACGGCGGGGGATGCATTTACAGTATCTTCAATCTTTAAAATTTTATAGCAGTTAAGACAACAAACATTTTGTTCAGAGTACAGGGAAAGCTTTACATAGAAAAAAGGCATTCACTAGGTGAACAGTCATTTAGGGAGAGGGTTGATTGCAAGTTCCAGACCTCTTGCTCGCTCTGCTGGATATCAGATCTATTTTTGTAAGTTATTTGGGTCATTTAATCAATTTGACATGCAGTTTGCAGATGAGTACATTTTAAAAAATCTAAATCCCTCTTATAATGGGGAAAAAAGACAAACAAGTGGGTAGTGAAGAGGTTGAATAACAGTTGGTGCACTCTACAAAAAATAAATTACTAGCTTTGGAAGAACATGTTTTTCACAAGTAATACATAAGGCAGCAGGTTTTTTTGCAATGATTCCCCACATGTTATTGGGCGTGGGGGAGAAAGAATGTTTCTGTTGTTTTCTTTGGTGCTTCTCTCTTTTTTTTTAACAAGGGGTTTTTTTCATTCTGTGGTACATCCTTTTTATATGTGCAGTTCTCTTCCCTTTGTTCACAGGGCATTTACACAGCTACAGAGCTTTGGGTAAAGGGCAGGGGACAGGATTCAGTATAGCAAAATTGAACTTTGAAGCTCAGAAAAACTTGGCACGTATTTAAAACTTTGTGAATCTCTTGCCTGTTTAGATCACAAGTTCACTGTCTTTTCCAACTTTATGAGTAATTCCGAAGCCTGAAGAATTTGTGATCATCATATCCCTTCTGTAGATGCTACTGTTTGGAGAGCTACAAAGCCTACAACAAGCTTTTGCTTACGAGGCTTGCATTTGCATGTCGTCTTTATAGGTTATGGGGGTTTTGGGGACCATGTCTAACTGCCAATTCATGTTACTATCTGTTGGGTTCAAAACTTGGCCACAGAGATCTTTTTGTTTACTTGGAGGTACAATGTCTGCCTGTTTCATACGTTCTTATAATCCAGGTATCTGTATTGGTTTGTTCAGATCCAAAAGGTATGTGATGTCTTAGTAACATGGTAACATACCATGCCCCGGTGCAATACTGAATACTGGCTTTTGATTTTACTCTCAGGATACTGCCCTGACTGGTGCCATAAACAGAAAAATGATTTAAGCAGTCTCTCCCCGCCGCCCCCAACTGTAGTATCTCTCAAAGAATCTACCATAATAAGTATGATCGAATGGCTGATGCTTTCCAAGACAAAGGCTGACAAATTTGTTTGAAGAGCTGTGTAGTAAGGCCTTTTCTACACCTGCAGGATGGGAAGCAATGATGTAGGGCAGATATTGGAGGTGTCAGAGCTCCTCTTGAATTGGTATGAGGACCTCCTATTCAGGAGTTAAGAAAAAGAAAAATTGCGTGGGTCATCTAGAGATATTTCCCCGGAAAAGAGAGGTATTTTATAGTTGAGGCCACAGAATGGGATAAAACAGAGTCTTGAATTTGTTACATTAAGTTTGCTCTTGCACAACTGCAGACTTTCTATTCACAATATTAATTTTAGACGAAAGGGGAAAGGGAGAGAGTGAAGGTAAAACATCCTGTGTGTGATCAAGAGCTTTGAAAGTTGTGATTGAGGAATGGAGTGTTTCCATGTTGAGTCCAAATACTGTTATGTAGGAGGAGGAAGCTCTGGATAGCAGCAGCAGAATTTGATCAAGTAAAATGGGAATCCAGTTTG